GCTGCAGCACCCCCCTTGAGTACAGCCCCCAACGCCCCCCAGGTCAGCTGCTAGGAGAGATGCAGCTGCCCCCTTTCTCGGGCCTCAGTCAAAGGCTGGGGGGCCTCTGTTGCCCTGGCTCAATGCTCCGCTCCATCGGCTTATCCCCTTCCCCAGCCCCCAAAACTACTCCACAAACATGCATATATTAAAATAAATCGGAGCCGTTTAAATAACACGCATGCATCGTGGAAGGAACGGAGCCAAGTCAGTCTGGGTGTATTTAAGGATCCGGGGCACGTTTGACGAAGAAAAGAGAATAAAAAGAAAGGATGCCCACTCAGCCAGCAGTCCATTGCCCCTCCCCCCACAGCTTCCCACTAAGTTTTCTGCCCTTAATTCTGCCCGGGAGCTGTGCTCTTGACAGCGAGTGGGTGGGGGTCTTCATATCCACCCCCAACGCTCAAGGTTCAAATTGTACAGCAGGGCTGTTTCACAAATATTCTGGATTTTGCCCAACACTCATGCCCTTCTCCCCCCAGTGTGTGTCAGGGGCCTCCAAGCCTGCATCCCCCAACCCCCATCTTGGGGCCATCGCTTCTGTCCCCCCCACCCCGCCCCAGTGCACAGCTTCCTCAGTGCCCTCCCCATCTCCGTCTTTGCAGCAGCTTGCAGCTCTCATCCTCCTGTCTCCTGCCCCGCCTATGGGCCTGGCCCCCCAACAGGTCAAGGATGGGGATGACTCCTATCCCTGCCCCACTGACATGGCCTGGCCTCCAGGCCCAGCAGCCCGCCTCCCCACGCCCTGCCGTTGCCCGTCTGACAGCCATCAGGTCAAGGACCACCACAGGGCTCGGCTCCCACATTCTGGGCCCGCCTCTCCCCCGGCCTCCCTCCCCCTCGCCACCAGCGCCACCCAGGGGATTTCTCTGCCCCCTTCGCAGTCCCCTCCCTGCGGTGGCTGGGGACTCAGCATCTGGGTGGCTCTTCCTGCAGCTGCAGCGTGCGAGGGCGGGAGCATACAAGGCAGGCAAAGGGGCACACGCAGGCCTGTGGGCCTCCCCAGGCGGGCGGCTGGGCGTGGGAAGGTGCCCTTTTGCACCCCCGTGGCACTGTGCCATGCCACTCAGCCGACAGCGTCTCCCACGGCAGTTTGCTTTAGGAAATGCAAAATCGCGGCCACCCTGGATGGCTCCGGGTTCTGAACTCCGCCCCGCTGGGTTTTGGCTGCAGATGTGCTTTGTGGCCAGGGTCTTCCCCAACCTGGTGTCCCCACTTTGGGCTGGGGAACATGGAAGTTGGCAGGGAAGGTTGGCCTGATCCCCCAAGGGCCCGAGGAGAGTGGAGAGGTCCCAGAGCATGTGCAGAATCCTCTCCCTATCCTGGCTGAGAGTCATGCAGAATGGCTCTGCCTGACTCCGAGGAATACTGCAGTGGAAGAGAAGCCCCTCCCTCAGCGTCGATTTGAATCCAGGTTTAAATGAGCCCAGGGAAAAAAAATCAATGCAGAAATGTGTCAAGGAATACATAGGAGAGCAATTTTTCCAGCCGGCCCCTTCCAGGTGCGCTGGGATTGCAACACCCAGCTGGAAGGAAATGCCCCAGCCTGGGGGGTCAGGAGAACTGCAGGCCCAGCCGGTCTGGAAGCTGCTTGTCTGGGGAAGCCTGCAGCAGGGAGGGGACTCAGCGCCCCCCCAGGAGCAAGCGTGCAAGCCTTTCTCCGTGGCCAGAGGGCTGCAAATATCATTAAGTGTGTAACACCCCTCTGCAGTTTCGCACTGAACCCAGACTTAGGGAAGGGGTTGAAAAGAAAACGGTCCGGTCGCTGTCCTTTCATACGGTGTGGTTTCGCACTGGGGCCCTCGGACTTAGAGAAGAAAAGGACATTTGGAGGGTCGGGACCCGTCTCCTGGGGCTTCTAAAACGTGCCAAGAAGTGGAGAAGCTGTACGTGGTTAATTCTCCCTCGGTGGTCATCTCAGCTGGGGTGAACTTGTCAGGTGGGGAATCCAGGACCCCCCCTTTGCACGGCCCTGGGAACTCACCACCGCAGGGTGTGGCGATGGCTATTCACCGGGAGGGCTTTGAAGGAAAAGCCCTTTCCAGGAGGGCTTGTCACGTGCTCCAGATGACCTCCCTGCCAGAGGTGGGAGACGTCTCAGTTGCTGGGAGGAAGACATTCAGAGGGTCCAAATGATGCTCCTGCAGAGCTCGGGGGCTTCCCTCCGGGCATCAGCTGGCACCAGCAAGAAGGCTTGCTCGGATCCCACCACGTACTTCTTGGGCTCTTCCCCTCTTCCGTTTGGTTTGGCCTCAGTGGTCCCCTTCTGTGAAGTGGGAACACTCCTGGCTGGAAACCCTGGGGAGGGAGGCCATGAGATTGTCGGGGGCTGCAGCCAAAAGTCCTTAAACCCCGGAGGAACTGCCCTGCCACCGTCACGGGAAGCCACGGACCCAGGAGGGCAAACTCACAGAGATGGGGGATGCTCACCCCTTCTTTTGGTGCTGCCCTAAAGGACGGGCACTGAAGAAATGATACAAGACAATCCACAGCCCAGGGCCAGACTCTGCCCCCCACCGGAAGCGGCTGCCCTCCCCATCCACCCGAATGATCCTGTTTTTCCCTCGGGAGCCCCCTGCAGTGCCTGTGTGGCGCTTAGAGGTGGCACTGCCCTCTAGAGAAGGTCATCCTCTGGCGACTTACAGGGACTGGCCCGTGCAGCCCTCTTAGCATGTGCAGAGGACCACAGAGGAGACCTTGGTGAAGGCACACGGGGGCAGCAATTAGCGTGACCTGAATTAACTCCAGGAAGGTGCTAGAAAGACCCTCAAAGCGATCCTGCCTTGACTTCCTTTGGCATAAGAGGAAGGGAAGGGAAAACGCTGTTTTGCTTATAAGAGTCAGTTCCTAGAGCCTATCTCAGTAAAGCAGCGTTCCAATACTTCTGTGACGTCCGTTTCCAGACCTGGCCTACCTTGCAGGGCTGACAGCAGGCTAGAAAAGCAATTTCTGTTGGAACGCTTTTTCAACTGGCCGCCAGCCCTGGGATCTCCTGGTGGCCTCCCATCCAAGTCTGCTCTGTTTAGCTTTTGAGATAGGCAGGACCTCCCTTCCTCCACACACACACACAAGAAAAGAAACCTCTTTGTCCCGCTGACCCCTCCTCTTTTCCATCCCACTAATGGGGCCGGAGGGCGTCTCCCGCTCTTCCCTTTGGTTAAACCACAGGATTAAAGCCGTGGGCTCTTCCACCCCCACCCTCCACCCCGCATTAGCTGATTGAAAATCTCCCAGCAGCTTGTTAAAGAGACCTGTTTCCCTAAGAGGCTTCGGCCCCCCTCCTCTTCCAGATGCCGGGCCAGAAGGCCAAAGAAAGCAAGCGAGCTTTTGTCGTGTCCCCCCCGCCACCCCCCCTCCGGTGAATTGCTTCCAAGGGCTGTCAGAAGGAGAGGGGAGAACAAAACGAGACTGGCTTCCAGCGGGCCAAGGAAAGAGCCTTGCAGATAAAGCTGTCCTTAAATGATTTCCTCGTCCCGTGCTCTGGGCGAGAGAGAGACACGCTTTCTCCCACGCAGGCATTTCCCTCGCACCCCAGCCCGCCTCTCGGAGAGCCTGCTTGCGCCACGGCTCCGTCCGGGTTTAGTTTTTGGAACCAGGGATCAGGCCTCCGGTCTTGGCCAGACCCCTGCGCTTGTCGTGGACGGGCATCTGAGCGCCCCGCGAGAGACGCCGTCCTGCAGGCAACTGATGGGGACGAAACTCATCCCTTTTCTCCTGCGTTTTGGGGAGAAAAGGGTTGAAACTTGCCCCTTTTACTATGGAGGAGTTTACTGTTTTAGTATCTGGTGGGGCTTTTTTTAATCGGTGGGAGAAATAACTGGCGTCTGAGAACGTGGCAGGCAGTGTTTTTGCTGGGCCCCAAGTCGGGAGCAGATTCCAGGCAAGGGGCTCTCTGTTCCTGCCTCCAAAAG